CAACAAATGGAAGGGATTCAAAGTAAAAAGCTTCTTCTCAGCAAAGTAAACAACCAATAAAGTGAAGAGAGAACCTACAGAATGGGAGAAAATCTTTACCACATGCACATCAGATACAGCATTAATCTCCAGGATATATAAAGAACTCAAAAAACTTAACACAAAAAAACCTAATCAATAAATTGGTTAAGAAACTGAACAGATACTTCACAGAAGAATAAATATAATCGATCAATAAATATATGAAAAAAATGATCAACATCTTCAGCAATTAGAGAAATGCAAATCAAAACTACTATAAGATTTCATCTCACTCCAGTTAGAATGACAATCATCAAGAATATAAGTAACAATAAATGTTGTGGAGGATATGGAGAAAAGGTACACTCATACATTGCTGGTGAGACTGCAAATTGGTGCAACCATTATGGGAAAGCAGTATGGAGATTCCTCAGAAATTGTGGAATGGAACCACCATTTGACCCAGTTATCCTACTCCTCAGTATATACCCCAAGGGCTTAAAATCAGCACTACAGTGATGCTTCCACATTAATATTTATAGCAGGTCCATTCACAATAGCTGAACTATGGAACCAGCCTAAGTGCCCTTAAATAGATGAGGGAATAAAGAAAATGTGGAATGTATGCATAATGGAATATAAATCAACCTTAAAGAAGAATGAAATTATTGCATTTTCCAGTAAATGGATGAAGATGGAGAATATCATGCTAAGTGAAATAAGCCAATCTCAAAAAACTAAAGGCTGAATGTTTTCTCTGATATACTGATGTTAATTCACAATAAGGAAGGGGGGCTAGGAAAAAATACAGGTACTTTGGGTTAGGTAGAGGGGAGTAAAGGAAGACGAAGGGGTATGGGGGTCACAAGGATAGTAGAATAACTTGGACATTATTACCCTATGTATATATACGATTACATGACCAGTGTGATTCAACACCATGTACAACCAGAAGAATGAGAAGTTATATTCCATTTATGTATGATGTATCAAAATGCATTCTACTGTCATGTATAACCAAATAAAACAAATTTTTTAAAGTCTTTTTTAAGTGCATCAATAGATGTTATAGCATATATAAGGCCAATGTCTTATTTGTTTGAAAGATAAATATGCTGTAACAGTCACTTACCTATTTGAAAACATAATTAAAATGTTAATAGAGCCTTAAGAACTTTTCTTTTTACTTTCACTACTCTCTTGAGAAGCTAATTTCATACAATTCTGATCAAAAACTTGAAATTGAAACTCATGCTAGGCAGTAATTGTAAGTATCTGAATGTAACACAACTTATTTTGCTTGGTATTTTATTTTGCTTGAAATTATATGATAATATATGCATACTACTCCCAGATGATTTTTCCCTAGCTATCCTAATTAGTGATGTTTTACCATATGACTCTTCTCCTTTGTTAAAACCATGAGAAACTTTGGCATTTAGGTATGAAGTAACATTTGGGACATTGCCCAGGCTTTACAAAAAAATAAAAAATAAATAAATTACTTAAAGCACATATTATACAAGCATTTTACAAAGAACACTCCATCTCACTAAAGAGAGAGAGGAAAAATTGGACTGATTTTCTTTGTAAACTCCTTGAGTGTTTTGCTGAACATCTTGATAGTAAGCAGGTTTATGAAAGATCCTTTATAGCCTATTCATCCATTTCTATTATGCTATACTCTATAAATATTAATGTTCACAGATGAAAAAGAATCCATTTATAGCAAGAACAGTACTATCTAAACTTTGAGGATTAAATATGTTGATAAAAAACTAATTATACAATAAAACATTTCCTCAATTAAAACTTACAAAATTTTAAATGACAGTTTTTTTAATTTTAAATGATTTTTACATAAGTATAAAAGAACAGGATCGGCTGAAGTCATACTGAGTTAGTTAGAATTGCTGTTTGGGGACAAATTGGTATGAGTTTATAAGATTAGGTCATTTTATTGAGTTTAACTGAAGGCAATCAACAGCATCATGGCAAAACTGTGACTCTGAATATTGATGTATTATTTAGAAACTCTGCTTTTTTTAAAGGATAATTAAAGAAAATTAAGATGATATGCTACTTAGTCAATCCATCAGTAAAAAAGTAGATAAATATATTTAAATTATCTTGAAGCAACAGGGGAAAATTAGTATAATTACCTTTACCTAAGGAAGCAATATAGTATTTTTTCCTATTTTGTTATGAATGTATTTGTGTATGGATGTGTGTATAACAAAAAATATTAATTTTCTTCACCTTAAATTTTCCTTATCATAAAATATATTAACTTTATATCATAGTATATAAACACTATTAATGTTATGTCTTTGTATTTAAGCCATAGGAACTCAATGAGATGAGTAAACATTGCATGAGGATTTCTTGGCTTTCTCTGGGAAAAGTATTAATATATTTTTTCAACAGTACTGAGCTGTATCATGTTAGGTGGAAGTATGAGCTTGACACTCCTTATTTGGAGATTGAGTATGGTTGAACAAGAGGTATTTGGGCACCAAGTTGACAAGGGGTGAACCTGTGATGATTACCTTTAAGTGACAACTTGGCTACCTGATTATGTGGCCAAACTTTATTTCTGTAAAGATATTTTTAGATGACATTAACATTTAAATCAGTAGAGGTTGAGTTAAAGTGATTACCACCCAGTAATATGGGTGGGATCCATGTAATCAGCTGAAGGCCTAAACATGAGTTCTATTTCTCTGAACCCTGACAAATACAACCCAACCCAGTCCCTAGTTAAGAGTTTGAGCTCTTGAGTCCGGATTGCCTGGGTACTGATCCTGAGTCTTCTAAAAAGTAGTTGGAAGATCTGGGAAAATTAATTAACTTCTTAACTTTATTGAGCCTCAGTCTCCTCCTTTATAAAAAAGAGATAATAAATGTTTAACCTTTACTTCACAGGATTGTTTTGAGGATTAATTTTTATACATGAAAAGTGTTTTATAAAGCACGATCAAGGTGTTATACATTGTTGCAAGCATTCAACAAATATTAACTATTATCTCCAAGTTCCTTCTCAGATAGCTACAAAACTTGCAGTTAGTTCTAGAAAACAAGAATGAGATGGATAAATAGAATTTTTTAAAAACACTTAAAAAGTTATTTAGAATTTGATTTTTGTAAGAAATATTCAAAATGAAGGAAAACAACCACAAATTTTCAAATTTTCATTTCTCAAATGCAATACTAATAATTAGCATTTGAAAATAACTGAAGTAAAAGCATTCCTTACTGATTACCATATCTATGTTCTTAAATAGATGCCTATCAATGTAATATCTGAAACATCATATCATACAATGATATTAGTATATTATAATCTTAGCAATATTTTAAATGTGATTTCTAATTGTTACTTGTTCTTAACATGCTGCCTCTACTTTTATATTCCATACTTGTCTTCTATATATTTCTTCTCATTTTTCTCATCCTTCCTGCTCACTACCCACATATATTCTTGCCCTATGATTTAATCCCTTTGCCTGAAATTCTCTGCCAGATAAACAGTATTTGTATTTTTGTTTATTGTGTTTTGGTTTTTACCAAAAGAAAGCCAAACTTTTTAAAATTCATATCCTTTTGGCTTGGAGAAGAACTTTATAATGTTGACATAAAAGGTTAAAAAACTATGAAGGAAAAAAATTATAGAAATTGCTATTTAAAAATGAAATGCTATTTAAAAATGATATATATTGAAAGTCTAATATATATATATATATATATATATATATATATATATATATATATATCTCAATGCAGAAAGAACATTTCCTACAAAAGATCGAGTATTTAACAGAGGTAATAATACTTATTATTGTTTTGTAATATTTTATATTACACATTCATACAAACTATCCCATTTTTAATTTCCTAATAATCCTTTAAAGAATCCTTTAAAGAAACAGGGTTTATCACTGTTGGCAGTAATGATATTTGGGGCCAAATAATACTTTATTTTGGACAGCCACTGTGTTGAGCAGTGATCCTAGACTCTATACAGTAGAAGTCAGTAGCCTCCCTACACAAACCTAATTATGACAACCAGAAATGACCCAGATACTGCCCAATGTCCCCTGAGGAACAGAATCATAACTAATTGAGGTTTGTAAATTGACAGAAAGTAATAGTATTTTCTTTTTTACAAATTAGTAGGTGATACTCAGAGAAATTAAATGAGTTGTCCAAATACACCTTTTCTCTTAATGACTTACAAACATGACATTTATGGGATGACTTGAATCATGAATCACTTGCCATGAATGTCTTGGTAAAATACTCATCACATCTAATAAGCCACAACTGTGACTTTTATATGCCAAGTAATTCATACCACTGACGTTTCTGAACTCACTTTCCTCTCAGCTGATTCTATCATTATTTCAGGATTCTTTTTTCCCACAAAAGGAAACTTCAAGTTAGAAATAAGCATTATGAAAATTGGCCTAGGCATAAAAAGTATTCACATAGTGCATGTTTGGGATTTTTTTCAAAGCAGTTTCCATCTCCTCTTGTACAAAATTTATGAAAGGGACTATCACTTTTATCAGTTGGGCAGCTAACATGCCATCCAATCTTCGTGATCTACCTCTATCATAATATGTAGGACACTGGAAGCATTTCCTTTCATGGAAGTATCATAGTAGGAAAGTTAGTCATGTGCTGAGAATTAAGGATAGAGTTGACACTTCCGTTTACTTGACCAAAAGTACGTTAACAATCTTGAGTTACTACTGAAAAAAATGTGGAGTTGCCATATTAATATTCTAAACACACACTTTATATAATTAGTTAACCACTGTATCTAAACAGATTTCAACCCTTTTCAAACTGTTTTGTTCTCAACAAAAGAAAGAAAACTGGAATTGCCCCCATGTAATACACTGCCATCTGTGTGCAGGCTGATAAGACCAAAGGGGAATGTGTGAATGTCACAGGATCAGGGCTGCAAACCTTACCTTCCATGACATACACCAGTGACCCCACGTCTCCTTCTTTGATGATGCAACTGTCTTTGCCATATTCCACTGGGTACATACAATCCACAATCTCCTGGATCTGCGACAGCTCCAAGTTCTTCATGAAGTCATTGTCGAGGATGGCTTCCTTTATAAGATCCTTGGACCTGCAGCAAGAGGGGGGAGAGTTACTGACATCTGACCAACTCCTTCCTAGTTTGTATGGCTTAGCAAAGCTATGCAATGCTCTGGCACACTACAAATGCATTTTCTTGTGAGGAATCCAATACTTTCCTGGAAAACCTGAGAACAAAGTCATCCCATGGCAGTAGCAAAGCCACAGAAATTTTCCTTTAAGCAAATTACCATTTAATGAACAAATGACAAATAAAAAACAAATAAAAACAATTTGATTTCATTTGACAATTTTTTTTGTTTTTCTTTTTTTTATTATTGGTCTTTCAAAATATTACATAGTTCTTAATACATCATATTACATGGTTTGATTCAAGTGGGTTATGAACTCCCACTTCCACCCCATATACAGATTGCTGAATCACATCAGTTACCCTTCCATTGATTGACATATTGCCTTTCTAGTGTCTGATGTATTCTGCTGTCTGTCCTATTCTCTGCTATCCCCCCTCCTCTCCCCTCCCCTCCCCTTTTCTCTCTCTACCCCTTCTACTGTAAATCATTTCTTCCATTTGTATTATCTTGTCATTTGACAATTTTTTAACCACACAGATTATGGGAAAACTAACGAGCAAACATTTTAAACTGAGGTTTGTAATTTTGTTTAAGAATAAATACAAATAAAATACAAAAATCATAGAACAAACTATTTTTGCTATGTTTATATATTATAAAAAATCAGACATGCATTTTACTATGTGAAATAATGTAAAATGTGATTTGTTTACTTATTTTCTGCGTGCCTCTTCTATTAGACTTTAGGTTCTACATAAGAAGGGATGGTTTTTAATTTGTTCCCTAATATGTGTCCAATTTCTACTACAATGCCAGTCATGGTATGGGAGCTCCAGACATATTTTATATAAAAAATTGGTTAAGAATTTGATTCCTTATTGTTGTCTGTCATCATAATAGCTGCCATTCTGACTGGAGTGAGATGGTATCTTAGAGTAGTTTTGATTTGCATTTCTCAAATTGCTAGAGATGATGAACATTTTTTCATATATTTATTGATTGATTGTATATCCTCTTCTGAGAAGTATCTGTTCATGTTCTTGGCCCGCGTTTATTGACTGAGTTATTTGTTTTTTTGGTGCTTAGCTTTTTCAGTTCTTTATATACCTAGATATTAGTGCTCTATCTGATGTATGAGGGGTAAAAATTTGCTCCCAACATGTAGGCTCTCTATTCACCTCACAGATTGTTTCTTTTGCTGAGAAGAAACTTTTGAGTCCATCCCATTTATTGATTCTTGGTTTTAATTCTTGTGCTATAGAAGTCTTATTAAGGAAATTGGGGCCTAATCCCACATGATGAAGATTAGGGCCTACTTTTTCTTCAATTAGAGAGTCTCTGATTTAATTCCTAGTGTTGGCAAGGATGTGGGACTGCAAATTGGTGCAGCCAATATGGTAAGCAGTATGGAGATTCCTTGGAAAACTCATAATGGAACCACCATTTGACCCAGCTATCTCTCTCCTTGGTCTATACCCAAAGGACTTAAAATCAGCATAGAGGGACACAGCCACATCAAGGTTTATAGTGGCACAATTCACAATAGCTAAACTGTGGAACCAACCTAGATGCCCTGGATTAAAAAAATGTGGCATATATACACAATGGAATATTACTCAGCAATAAAAGAGAATAAAATCATGGTATTTTTAGGTAAATGGATGGCTTTGGAGAAGATAATGTCAAGTGAATTAGCCAATCCCCAAAAAACAAATGGCGAATGTCTTCTTTGATATAAGGTGACTGACTCATAGTGGGGTAGGGAGAGGGAGCATGGGAGGAATAGATGAACTCTAGATAGGGCAGAGGGGTGAGAGGGGAAGAGAGAGTATAGGGGGTTAGCAATGATGGTGGAATGTGATGGACATCATTATTCAAAGTACATGTATAAATTGATGTAAACCTACATTATATACAAAGATATGAAAAACTGAAAAAAAAAGAATTTGATTCCTAATTATCTGGTTGAAATAACTGTAGAAATGTAAAGTTCATGCTTTTTTAATTATTATTTTTTTTAATTTTGGATACTGGGAATTGAACCCAGGCACACTTAACCACCGAGGCACGTGATCCATATCCCCAGGCCTTTTTTCTTTTTTTTTTTTTTAAATCTGAGAATGGGTCTCACAAAGTTGCTTAGGGCCTCGATAAGTTGCTGAGGCTGGCCTTGAACTTGGTATCCTCCTGCCTCAGTCTTCTGAGTCACTGAGATTATAGGTATCCATTACCGCGTCTGGCTCTTCATACTTCTTTAGAGAATACTTATTTCTCCAAACAAACATCTTAATTTGAGGTAACCAGGCAGATAAAACTCTGAAGAACAAGATGTTTGAAATAAAATGTTTTAGATTTGGAACTAAACACAAGTAGTGAATAGGAAAGATATGTACAAATTCTGTTATTTAACAGAATGTTAACCTAAAACATGGTAATAATTTTATTCACTGGGATAAGAAAAATTCTAAACCACTTCCTAAAGATACAAAACGCAAAGTGGAAGGGGCATTAAGAAACATGCTGTCAGGAGGAGCACAATCAGAGCACCATCCAGAGTCGGAAAGTGAATAACACAAAAGCCAAGAGCTTAGCATACAGAGAGAAAGAAATACATTTGGAATTTTATATTGAAAACCTGAATTTTAAAAAAAAATGGAACACAAGCTGGCCTTTGTTCACATTGACTCAGCAAGTGGCTTTCAGGGAAATGAACTATAGTATGAGGACTTACTAGAGCATCAGCTGCTCCTGAACAGCTTCTCATCTAGACCTCCGTCTGATGGGCCTAGCCTTCATACACTGTGCAGTATCATCATTTGGTTTCAAATAACAACAAGATGTACATAAAAATTGGAACAATTGAATCATTTGGGGTTGTGGCTCAGTGGTAGAGTGCTCACCTACCACATGTGAGGCACTGGCTTCAATTCTCAGTACCACATAAAAAGATAAATAAATAAAGGTATTGGGTCCATCTACAACTAAAAAATATTTTTTAAAAAAAGAACTGAAACTTCACTGGTATGAAGAATACCACTGACGTGGACAGTTTTGCTGCAATTAAAATTATGTTTATAAAGAGTATAAATGGCACAGGGGACACCATAATATTTTTAAGGGAAAAAGAAGGATAGAAATTTGGGGGGGGGGGGGGTAAGATAAATATGTATGTAATAAAATGTAAAAAAAAAAAATAGGCTTTCAAGTTACAACCCTAAACCCAACACCTAAAAAACTTGCCTTCCTTTTCTCCATTTCCATTTTATTATCTGTAAATGGTATTTTAAGAATTACCAAACTAGCAGGTTTATAAGTGATAACTAGTAATGATATAATGTTATTTCAGTGAGTTGCAGGTGATAAGGGTGGTAATAGTGCTGACTGCAGTAGCAACAGGAGGGTGTTAATAGAGTACACAGTTATGACTTGAAACAAAATCAAAGGAAAGTGATCCAAATTTTGACTGTGGCTGTCTTTGGTGATAGAATTACATTTTTTTCTTTCTTCTTTATAATTTTCTAGAGTGGGCAGGCTTTTTTATATTAAAACATCTTAGATTTTAAATGTAACTTATAGAAAGGAACTTATGCCACACTGAAAAATCGTCTTTCGCTCATTGAATTAATGACTAGATATTTAAAACGGGTGACTCAGTATTACTCTTCAGTAGACTCTCTGTCATGGCTTATGTTTAAATGCTCATGGCAGGACTTTTCACTTCAGGAAGAGATGGTGATGAATGGCAAGTCATTAAGAACTTCAGGATGTTCTCCATCTAAAAATGTCCTGGTTATGAGACTTCAACTTCAGCTCAACAGAGTTCTTTAGTTGCATAATTTCTGCTGTTTTTTTTTAATTCCCTCTTACCTAAACTTTATTTGTTGTTTTGTTTTAACATGAAAAGTGACTTCTCTTCTCAGGCTGCCAAGCAGGATACAAAACTTGTCTCTATCCACAATTTTCATGAGGTCCCCTCCTTAATCTTTATCATTGACCTCCATAACATCAGTGGAACCTTTATACCAACTCCCAAGATCTATTGTTCTATGATTATCTTTCCAAATGCCAGGGGGTTTGATCTTTAAGAAATTCATTTTAATCAAATCATATTATAGTCTCTCTTTGGTAAACAATTCTCTTATTTGGGTCAGAGGATGAGGTCCTCCAATGGGTTCATAGTTTCTAATATAATAAAGACTAGATCTTAACCCAGAAACCCAGTGTAGTTATGACAGATGATATCGTATCCTTTGGGAAATATTAACCATGTTTCATTAAATGTCTAAGTTCTAGAAGTATGGCAAGATTAGAAATAAAGCTCTCTTCCAAGAAAATAATTAGCTCCATCCAAAGATGATTGAAGGAACTCTCTCTGCCTACATAAATAGTAATATTAACCTATATTATGAAGATATCAGAAAAGATGAGACAATGAGCTCTAACAAAATCCCTTAGAATTATCCAAATTTTCCAAGTGTTTATCACAGAACACCTGTGGATTTCTGGATGCTCTTGCTTCTCAAATTCCATCCTGTCCATCCACAAGAATGGGGTTCTAATTAGAAAAAGATATATTCCATACTTGTATAATTTTATCAGAACAGATTCTACTGTCATTTATAACTAAGAAAAAAATCAATAAAAAAAAGAAGGAATGGACCTTTGTTGTACCATGGTCATTTCAAATATCATAGCCAGTTAAAGGCTGTTTCTCAATTTCAGGTATTTACTCCATTATCATTTATTGAGCAGGGAAGAGGGAAATGAGGAAATAAATTTAATATTGCTTAAAAACTTTAGATGGATAACATTTAATCTCAGGTCTCTGAAGAAGCCAAGTAGGGGCTTTCATGTATGCATTGAAATCACGTTAAAATAAACTGCCTGGGTTGGAGGTGGTAGAAAGCTTGCCTTGAATAGGAGAGACTTAGGGTTCATCCCCAACATCACAAAAATC